TTAAAGGTTATGACAAGATACTGAATACAGTTCCCTGTGCTATACAGAAGAAATTTGTTTTATTTTATATATAGTGGTTAACATTTGCTTATCTCAAACTTCTAAATTTATCCTTTCCCATCTCCTTTCCCTAGGTAACCATAAAATTGTTTACTATGTCTGCGAGTCTGTTTCTGTTTTGTAGACGAGTTCATTAGTGTCTTCTTTTTTCCTTTTCTTTTTCCTTTTTTTTCAGATTTCACATATGAGTGATATCACATGGTATTTTTCTTTTTCTTTCTGGCTTACTTCACTTAGTATGACAATCTCCAGGTCCATCCATGTTGCTGCAAATGGCGTTATTTTATTTTATTTTTTATCACTCAGTAGTATTCCATTGTATAAATATACCACATCTTCTTTATCCAGTCATCTGTCAATGGACATTTAGGTTGTTTCCATGTCTTGGCTATTGTAAATAGTGCTTCTATGAACATTGGGGTGCATATACCTTTTGGGATTAGAGTTCCCTCCAGATACATGCCCTGGAGTGGGATTGCTGGATCATATAGTAAGTCTATTTTTAGTCTTTTGAGGACTCTCCATACTGTTTTCCATAATGGCTGCACCAAACTTCATTCCCACCAGCAGTGTAGGAGGGTTCCCTTTTCTCCACACCCTCTACAGCATTTATTGTTAGTGTACTTTTGAATGATGGCCATTCTGACTGGTGTGAGGTGATACCTCATTGTAGTTTTGATTTTGCATTTCTCTGATAATTAGTGATATTGAGCATTGTTTCATGTGCCTATTGGCCATTTGTGTGTCTTCATTGCAGAATTGCTTGTTTAGGACTTCTGCCCATTTTTGAATTGTGTTGTTTGTTTTTTGTTGTTGTTAAGTTGTATGAGCTGTTTATATATTATGGAAATTAAACCTTTGTCAGTCACATCATTTGCAAAGATTAACATTTGAAATGTAGATACTTTTCACTGTCGAAGTTAGAAGAGAGGGGAAAAAAGTATTTCTGGAAGGTAAACCAGTGTATACAAAGAAGCAGAGCATGAGAACACTTGCTCAAGATTAGCTTTCTTTAGCTGGAGGTCGTGATACACATGGTGAAAACAAAGGCTGCAATGTAGATGAGGTCTAATTTGTGAAGGATTTTGCTATTATAGGAAAGCTTGTCTTAAACATATAGACATGTGGGTGTGGAGGTTTGTATGTATACACTATGTACGAACAGAACTTAAGGTGCACAGTTTTGCTTATTCTACCAACCTTTAACAGAATTGGTGCACTGTTGTTATTATTTTTTAAATAAATACTTCATTTCATTTTGAACAGAAATTCTCTGATAAGGAGCAGACTATATTCATGTTATTTCACCAAAAGAAGGATTTTGAGGCTCCACTGAAAAATATATGAGGGGTTTACTGAGTTTAGATTAAGAACAATACTTATATTTCTTAGATTTATGCATGAAATGAGAGAAAAATTAAATTCCACTCATCTATTAATTCTTAAAATGAAGAATTAATCTTCAGTCATTTTGTTTGTGTCCTTTATTATAGCTGCAAGTATTGTAGTCATAATAGTCCTAATACATATCTTTATATGAGTGCACAGCAATTACTAGATTTTTCTTTTAAAAACATGAGCTAACACAGGAGTTGAGGCACCGGAAATTCTGCCTTCACATGTCTCTTAATGGAAGTAAAGGAGAAAAAAATCAATTTCATGTGAACGAAGATACCTTTGGCCTCTACTGGAAATAAATCACACTGAATAGGCAAACTGCATTTCTTGAGATAGATTTTATTTATGCCCTTATTATTTGTCAGACTGTAACATGACAGAATTTATGAATAATCAAATAATTCTCAAAATAAATGAGATGAATTTCTTTCATTTGATTATTAATTATAGAAACTAACCTTAACTCTTTGGGCCCGCTGCTTAGAAGTACAAAGTGAAGACCCTGCTGTGTGGATAAACTGATGACTCACTTTTAATATCAGGTTGAGCCAGGAACTCAAACTCTGCCAAGTGAACTCCACAGGGAGTCCCACTTCAACCCACTCACATTTCCTAATAACAGCACTCTCTTCCAGCCGTGCTGAAATAAACTGAGCTTCTCTTTGGCATTTTGATTTGTAAATGAAGGGAGCATGTTAAATAATGAATTGCAGTGATTTCTAGGATAAAGTTTTAAAGCAGCACATTAAAAGGATGTCTGTACCATGACAATGGCATGCGATTGCGTCCTGATGTAAATTATAAGATGGTTCACGTTTAGCATCCTTTTTGCCCCCATTTGAGTTACAAAATTATTTCACCTGCAGGACCAGAAAGATAATGTTGCTGTTGTTTATAATATGAAGATGGTCGTAGGGAGGTGGGGTGTTTATAAATTTATGCTTGTAAAAATAGGAGCTTGAAAGAAGTTTAATTTATAAACCTGGGGCCAAAGAAGTTTCATGTGATGTAGGCCATGCATTTCTGTGTTTTGACGTTGGGGTTTAAGCTATCACACTGGTTAGGATTTTTATGACTCCTTTAGACATGTTTATTTGAAATCTCCCTGGCTTTGCTTGGTGAACTCTAGACATGCAAAAGTACCCTTAGGGCACACACTCCCCTCTGGCAGATTTGTTTCCCATTTTTCTCCTTTTAGAACTCTGGCTCTGCCACTATTGCCACCCAGATCAAAAGCCCCATGTTTATTGTCCTGGCCACATGATGGAAAATATATCTCTGGGTAAGCCTTGCATTAGGTTTCCTGCCTGAAAAGACAAAATGTTTTCTGTTCAGACACAAAGATTGTTCTTAAAAAGGCTTGTGTTTGCATATGAAGCTGCACTAACACACTGATGGTAAATCCAGCAGCATTTTGAA